TTTTTTTTTTAGCAGCGATAGAAGAAATAATACAATAATACGAATTTTATTACATTTTTATTTGTTAGAAATCGAGATAACTTTCGTTTTAACTTAAGTGTTAAATTCGACAATTATAAACAACTCTAAATAATTTCTTACCATTTTGCATGGAAATATTATTACACGCTTTGTAGTACGATATTATATGAATACCATAAATTATTAGATTACAGTGGTTTTGTAAGCGCTTGATCGATCAATCAACACACTGTCGATGGATCACATTGAAATCGCGAGCTGCTCGCGAGCGGCCAAAACGTTTCGCTACGACGATCCTCTGCAGGATCTGCAATTTTCGTGCTCGTGGCGAGGGCCGGCTTCATTCGTCGCGATGCTATAAATTAGCGCAGCACGTGTACGCACATGCAACTAACTCATTCATGTACCAAGAGACTTGGCAAAGGCTCGTCGCATAGCTCGACGCTTCCTAAATCTATTCCGAGCTTAAAGACGGCGTGTACGTACCACGAGGAACGAGAAGCAAGAAAACAGCCGGCGATATATATATATATATATATGTGTGTGCCTTGCAACGCTGCCTGACTTCGTCGAATTCACGCTGAAACGCGTGAAAAGCTCAGAGAAGAGCCTTGTGCTGCCTTTTGTTTCCTAGAATTTGAAAACATCCTGCCGGAGGGATTTTTATATTTTTATATTTTTATATTTCGATGAGATTTCTTCGACAATTGCCAGTTTTTCCTCTTCACTTGTCAATAGAACTATAAATCCTATAGGAAAAGGAGCAGTTGTCGCTTCTTCAACTTCGTTTCTTTTCTCTTCCTCGATTAAACGAATGAATTTGTTACGATATTTTGTTAGCAAAGTATCAGAGAAAGAAAAAGTTCGTGGCATTGCATACGACATAATGTATCAAGTTACGCTGATATATCGGAGAAATTTTTCGTCGATATATTTTATCGATTGGCCTACTTTGCATGATAAATTCCCTGCAAACCTTGCTCAAACAATGGGAACAATGTTGACTGATCCGACAGGTTAAATCTTCCCGCCAAATTTTGCATTCTCCCTCCCCCCTCCCTCCCCGACCGTGTCGACTTATTTCCATTTAAATCGTAAATTTTTCTCTTTTATACGAAATAAGAAAAAAATATGAACGAATGAAAGTAGAAACTTTTCAATAGATTTAAAATGACAATTTTCAAGCAATTAGATATAGCGAAGAAGAAATTGTGCGTTGAAAAAATGGAATAAAAAGAAGAACAGCGGCGGAATAAGAGTAGAGCATATAAAATAAATCGAGTGGCACACTGTTAACTTAAAAATAGCCTCTATTGGTTGGTTTCTTATATCCGGTCATGCGATTCGCCTATTAGCAATTCAACCGTTTTTCTTTTTTTCTTTTCTTTTCTCTAGCCACAATTTGCAACCGGACAATTGAATTTATGAAAGAAATTTCATTGGAATGGAATCAGACGATCGTTTTCATTCTGGACGTTGCGTAAACGAAACGAGCTTCTGACGCATATGAAGAAAGGGGGGAGGAAGAAGTTTTACCTAACATCAGACAATTTCTCACAAAACATATGAAAACATACGTTTAATAAATTTAAAGTGAATGAAAAGTATCTAAGGTAGTCGCAATATACATATAAACAAAAATGAAACAAAGATGTCATTTCTTCCCTTTCCTTTTTTTTTTTTTTTTTTTTTTTTTTTTTACAAAAATACGGATTTGAGTAAATCACACACGGTCTGAATTATCAGGCATAGTCCCGTCACGATAATCTCAGGTGGTTTTTATTGGCAATGCAATCGAGCTGTTCTCGTTCAAAGAAAGACACCGTTAAAAGGAGCCGTGGTCTTTTTTTCTTCAGCATCGAGGATGCTTCGACTTAAAGTGGTTACGTACGCACAGCCTATAAATATTCTTTAGCTGGACGTTGGGTTCTCGCGTTACAGTAGGACCCCACTAATTCAGCTAGAGAGGTTAGATCCGCTAAAACTTTAAATACGAGTGTATGCACACGGTTGATCCTATCCGCTGAATATTCACTTTGATGTTGTGCTCTACGTGGGGAGGCGTATTTTTCAAGATGAAGTTCAAGAATAGTACATAGTCGAATGTTTCAGGTAAAGCTCGACAATTCGCGCCTTTTTCCTTGTTTCCAAATTTGCATCCACATTCGTCAGGTTTGTCACATTAACCTCTTGCCAGACTATTTTGTCCCAAAATTGCAATAGTTTCTCAGTTTTAAATATATTTAAAGTATAACCCAGGCGAAACAAATAATAAATTTATTACTTCTTAGTAATGATTTCTATCCAGTGATATCATACCGACGGTAGTTAAAAAAGAAAGCGACGAATTATTGTGTACAGTTTGGTCACTCGTTATGGTCCGCGAACCAATTGCCAGCGTAAGAGGTTAACCTTAACGTCGAGAACTTTTTGTCCCAAAATTGCAATGTTTTCTCAGTTTGAAGTACATTTAAATATAACCCAGGCAAAACAAATAATAAATTTATTACTTCTTAGTGATAATTTCTATCCGGTGATCATACCGATGAGTTCAAAAAGAAAGCGACGG